TTTCGAAGGAGCCCGGGAACTCCACGGCTTTTTTGGTAGCTGACAGAGAGCTCCTCAACTTGACGGCTGCCCATGCTTTGGGCACCTTCGGATCGTGAGACGAGCTGCCTGGCATATTCCCAGAGGCCTAGCTTACGGTTTAGGGTTTAGGGTTTAGGGTTTAGGGTTTAGGGTTTAGGGTTTAGGGTTTAGGGTTTAGGGTTTAGGGTCTAACTGCCGTTTTATCCTGGCTTTGAAGGGTTTCGGAAAAGGTTCTACACAGGTCTATATCCTCGAAGTAAGGGCGATCAAGGCTCTTGTTTCAGCAGATCGGAGAAAAAACATCTGGAAGCTCCCGTAGCAGGAGATGGGCTCTCTGCCCTAAACCCTAAATCCTAAACCCTAAACCCTAAAAACCCCTAACGCCGGAAAAGCCTCAACAGTTCTCAAGACCCCAAAGGCTCATCAGATTCGAGATTCTGCAAGGCAGAGGAGGGATCAGATCCAGACCCAAGGCTGGAGTTGCAAAGGACATCCGGCTTTCGGGGTTTAGGGGTTTAGGGCTTCGGGGTTTAAGTGCTTTGGGGTTTAGGGGTTTAGGGGTTTAGGCGATTTTGCGGTTTAGGGTCTTGGAGTTTAGGGTTTTGGGGTTTAGGGCTTTAGGGTTCAGGTTTTTTGGGTTGAGGGGTTTTGGGGTTTAGGGGTTTAGGATTTAGGTTTAAGGGTGCTGGGGTTTAGGGGTATAGGGGTTTAGGGTCCCCCGAGAAGATAATCTACCAGTAGAGCCCTTAACCCGTACACGAGGGTTTTCAGCTGCGCGGCGTCCCTTTCGCAACTCCGACGGCAAAAGGGCCGATGAATTTGAAAGCCGAGTTAAAACGAAAGGGAGGGCCTCTGCTTCTCAGACCCAAACAATCTCCGAATCCACGAGCTCCGCAGGGAATCTGCCAGGACGGGGGCAGTTTTGGAGACAGGGCTTCAAAGGCGTTCTTGCAAGGTGCGATGTGCTTCTACAACAGTGCGTGATAAGGGTTCAGGTTCAGGGCTGTCTTGGAAGACCTAGCAGGCCCCTGAACCGCAGAAAGGGGCAGCCAGGTCTTTGCGAGGACTCCCTGATGAAGAACTGTCCAAAGAATCATCCAATCCAGTGCCCCCTATCGCCAAAAAACCGTCACCTATACTGAACAATCTGTGCTTTAAGAACCCTAAACTCTGAACCCTAACCTCCTAAACCCTAGACACCTCAACCCTAAGCGCCCCACATGAGCACAATGACGGCAATGGCAACGAGCAGGCAGGGCGTGAAGAAGAGGCAGCCCTCCTGTGAAGCCACATCTTTTTGGCAGGGCTTTGGGGTATGTTATACTATAACTATAAAAAGGAACCCCCAAAATAGTATTGGTAACTATTTAAGCCCCTATATTAGCTGTCTGTTGAGGTTCTATGTGGCTTTGAAGGGAGGGTCTTATGTGGTTTCATTACGGACTCAATACGGCTTAGGGGTCTAGGCTTCCGGGGAGTGAGTGGGTGTTCGTATGGGGCGAAAAGCACACCTCACCAAAACAGGGACCTCGACAGCTCCAGGAAACGGGCACGGCCTCTTCGGACGGACTTTAAGTTCAGTTCCCTGCAAACTTCCCTAAACCCTAAACCCTAAACCCTAAACCCTAAACCTATTCCTCTGAGAATTCTGAGCATGTCCCTTCTTGTCGCGTTGGTCACGGACCATGACCGCCCTGATCCCAGCTGACTGTGAGTACTTTCCAGCCCCTTGACTTCCGAACTCTTTGGAAACCCTAAACTTTAAAATCCCTGAACCCTGAACCCTAAACCCTGAACCCTAGTGTTGAAGACCGCATCTGCGGGGGTCCTGCCGGGCGTTGTTCAGCATGACTCCTGGCGGAACTTTGAGCGAAACGTCCGAAACCATGCTGGTTGCAGTCGCATTAGGGCAGAAGCCAATGCTTAGGAGGAGCACCCTCGGTTTAGGGTTTAGTGTTTAGGGTATGCGCAAGAATGAACCTTGGCCCGGCAAATATGCGGGAACAGAGATCGACAGATCTCTTTCCAAACAGGACCACATACCGCTGGCTCTAGATCCGTCCCGAAGATTCTGCACACAGCGAGAAGTCCACTCCGTAATCCCTCCCCCTAAACCCTAAACCCTAAAGCCCTAGACCCTAAACGCTAAACCCTAAACCCTAAACCCTGAACCCTAAACCCTGAACCCTAAACCCTGAACCCTAAACCATACACCCTACACCCCTAAACCCTCAACCCTGAACCCTTAATCCTAAACCCCTAAACCCCTAAAACCCTAAAACCCTAAACCCAAACTCCTCAAGACGTCGCTGCTCGTGCTTGGCGCGCTCACGCTCCCCATCCCCGAAAGTCAAGGCCGGGCTTCGACGGCGAAAGTTTAGGGTTTAGGGTTTAGGGGTTTTTACGGCTGCCATGCGCACGAGAGTTTGCGAACATGCCTTTTTAAACAAGCCCGATTGCGCGTCGGCACAGACTCGAGGTGCAGTCGAAACTGAGGGTTGTTGTGGATTATCTGTTTTAACCCTAAAAGGTCCTTGCGGAGTGAAGTAGGGTCTTCGGCGGTGTGATCTATGTAATCTTGCAAGACAGGTAGCGCATATTCCAGATTAAGGTCTAACCAGTATCGTTGAGGGTGTCCTCTATGTTGCGACTTCGTGAACTTAATCGTATCCCCAAGAGTTTCTAGTTAGGCCTCAG